TTCATTGATTCTTGTATATGCCCAGACCAGGGATTGAACCTACAACCTTAGTGTATTGGGATGATGCTCTAACCAACTGAGCTACCTAGCCAGGGTTTCTTTCAACATTTTAAAGTTGTCACTCCACTCACTATCTTGTTACTTACAAAGTTTCTGACAAAGTTTATTATAATATTTATTCTTGTTCCTCTTTATATGTTTTCCCTTCTCTGGCTATCTTTAAGATTTACTTTTTGCTTTTCAGCAATTTGAATATGATATACCTAGATATGTTTTTGTTTTGTTTTGGTATTCAGTCTTTTTTTTTGGTGTTTGTGTCTTGTCACTAATTTTGGTAAGTTCTCAGCCATTCACATATTTCTTCTTCATTCTCTCTTCTACTTCTGGCATTATACTAGTAAGTATGTGTATGTTACATTGTTTGATATTTTCCCACAGTTCTTGTATTTTCTCTTGTTTTATTTTCCTACTCTTTTTCTTTTCTTTACATTTCAGTATGGGTACTATCTATTAGCCTATCTTCCAGTTGGCTTCCTCCCTATCCCTTGAGTTGTTTCAAGTCTACTAATAAGCTTGTCAAAATTATTTTTTACATTCTGGCCAGGTGGCTCAGTTGGTTGGAGTGTCATCCCGTACTCCAAAAGGTTGCAGGTTCCATTCCTGGTCAGGGTACATACCTAGGTTGAAATATTTGATATTGTAGAAAACCAAAGTTTTCTTCTCTAGTCCTTTTAGGGTGGAATTGTATTAATCTGTTAGGGGTTGGGCTATGTTTGAAGTTTATTATTGCTATCGTTATCAGAGTTGACATTTGTAGTTTCCATCAGAACCAGAGACTTCAAATTTCCCTAATGTCTCTTATCTCATTTGGCTTTGGGTTTTTCCTTTGTGCTGTTTCTCAGAGTGTATCTGTCTCTTGCAGCTGTGTTCCACTGTTATTTTTGCTCAAAACTTGTTGGCATGGTAATGGAGAATGAGGGAGTTCTGTGATGATCCATTAAGCCTCATATTTAGGCATGTATTAGAACCTGGGTCTTTTTAAAAAAATTTTTTTTTTTATTGATTTCAGAAAGGAAGGGAGAGGGAAATGAGAGAGAGAAACATCAATAATGAGAGAAAATCATTGGCTGCCACCCAGGCATGTGCCCTTGACAGGAACAGAGCCAGCTAGGGCTAGAACCTGGGTCTTGGAAGTGTAGCTTTCACAAGACTTTCCACTTTACTTTCAGGGGTAGAGTGTCTACCCTTCTTTCTTTTTCCCCAACTGGTGACTAGGATAGGTTTTTAAAGCCATTTCTTTTTTAGCTAAGATTTTTAAAGCTTTTTAAAAAGCCCCCTCCACTTCTACCCCTCTGCATTAAGGTTATTTTTCTTTAGAGATAGTGAAGATTCGATATGTCAATCTCCTTTCCTTTCCTCTAGCTATAGTAAGATTCTTACCTGTCTTCTCAGGGTACACAGGCCTTGATTAATTTTTCCTTGCAGATTAAGCCTTTTATTCCATAGGGAGATAGGGGAAATAGGTCTGGGCCAATTGGCACTGCCTGCTATTCTACTCTCCAAGCTCCTGAGGGCAGGAATGAGGATCTTTCTTTGATTTCTCCCACATCTTATCCCATCCCCCATTAGTAAGCCTTTTGAAATTCCAGCCTGTAATAGGGTGGGAATTCTCCTATGATTACATCCCCCAGGGACTTCACACTCTCATGTTAGCTCATATTCAGTCTTCAGGAATTTGTCAACATTGTGGTTTAATCTTTCTAATTGTAGTGGGATTCATCCATGCTCTTGTGACTGTTTCCTTTAGTCAGAGAGAAAGCTTTTTCCTCCTTCAGGGTTTTACTTGCTTGTCCAGCCTCTGTGTTGCTCCATCCAGGTGGCGTTGCCTCGAGCAGCGGTTCTCAACCTGTAGGTCGCGACCCCTTTGGGGGTCGAACGACCCTTTCACAGGGGTCGCCTAAGACCATCGGAAAGCACATATTGAATATATAATTACATATCGTTTTTGTGATTAATCACTATCCTTTAATTATGTTCAATTCGTAACAATGAAAATACATCCTGCATATCAGATATTTATATTACGATTCATAACAGTAGCAAAATTACAGTTATGAAGTAGCAACGAAAATAATTTTATGGTTGGGGGTCAACACAACATGAGGAACTGTATTAAAGGGTCGCAGCATTAGGAAGGTTGAGAACCACTGGCCTAGAGGTTGGGTTAGGTCTGACAGCGGTTCTCAACCCATGGGTCACAACCCCTTTGTCGGTCGAACGACCTTTTCACAGGGGTCGCCTAAGACCATCCTGCATATCAGATATTTACATTATGATTCATAACAGTAGCAACATTAGAGTTATGAAGTAGCACGAAAATAATGTTATGGTTGGGTCACAACATGAGGAACTGTATTTAAAGGGCCAGAAGGTTGATAACCACTGGGTTGGGAGAAAATGGGGGGAAGGGAGAGTAATTTCCTCCACTCGCTAAACCTTAGGAATACACTTTGTGGTTATAGAATAACTTGAGACTTGCCTTAGAACTCAGCATATGATCTGTTTTTATAAATGATCTTTTTGTGCTTGATTGTTCTGCAGTTACTGGGTGCTTTGTCATATGAATGTCTATTTAAGTCCAGCTTGTTAATGATGCTATTCAGATCTATATTTTTATCTATTTCCCCCCTTTTTTGGGTCATTTGTTCTATCAACTACTGATAATAATTTCCTCATTATGCTTATGGATACTTTACACTTGTAATTTTGCTAAGTTTTGGAGGCTATATAATTATATGAATACAGATTTTAACACTAGAAAGACCGAAATTTAGTATATACCTATATTGCCCAAAAGCAGTCAAAATGACTGCATTGTGAAAGAATAATATCGGAGCACTCTTCACTTATGTTCCTTAGCTTTTCCAATAACTCACTTCTAGTCGA